ATTGAATAGTTTGCACTAGAAATCACCTGACAAATATGTATGTATGCAATATTTTTGGTCGTATCCAAGGTAGTCATGTCCTCATCATCCTCCCTTTTTTGAAAACAAAGCCGTCCTCGGTGTTGCTTAATCTGAAATGTGGCTAACAAGAGAGACAAGGTATACATGTTGTATATGTATATGTCATTCATTTTTATTTCCCTTGATTTTTGCACATATGACACATGTATACATGAGTAACTTTCATAGATCATAAAATATAAAGCCAAAATATTATCATAAATAGAAGGCATGAAAATATTGCAACTTAGTTTGCACATATAAGTGAAGCTCTTATTCCTATCAAAAGATTGACAATATTCATCATTAAACCATCCCAGCATTGGTGAATAAACCTTACGTGCATCAAATTTACATGCTACAACATGCTTAAATAATAAAATATGCAATAAGTCATTTGACGCAGAATGATCACCAAGATTAGAGGTCATATCAAAAATGATTAAACATTGACACAATTATTTTAAAATGTATTTGATCCAAATCTGATTTATTTTCTGATTCACATGGTTCTTTGACCTCAACAGTTAATTCAATGGGCGCACTCAAAATTGTTGGCATTTCAGTTGTTTGATCACATGATGCATTCATGACAGTAACATGATTCTCTAAAATAGGTGACGTGCTCAAATCAACAGGTAACTCAACACATGATGTATTTAAGTTAATTAGGCATGCATCATTCTCATGTGAAGTTATATCATCAATACCTTTATTGTTACCTTGTCGCAAAGACGTAGCTGATGCAGGTATGGACAATGAAAATGTACCATACACTAGAGATGATGTCGCACTCACAATCTGAGATGTGGCTGCTCTAGTAGGTGCAACGGTGGAGGAATGAACCGATGGTAGTGAGCATGAATTGGAATAGTAGTTGTTGTAGTCATCCAATGCATCCTCCTGTAACTGTCTCTCAAAGGTACAAGCACGAACATACATACCAGTAATGCAACAAGGAATATACTGAAATTTTGCCTGAATATCATGATTCAAACCACCAAAAAATATATTCACTGTATCATCCTCAGATTCTTCTATGTGACAATGATGCATATAAGATTTGAACTCTTGGTAGTAAACATGAACAGTGTTGCTGCCTTGTTTAAATTGTTCAAATTTACGAAGCAATTCACGACGGTAGTAAGGAGGGAAAAATTGTTGTCTCATTACATGTTTTAAATCTTTCCAAGTTGTGGGTTGGTTATCAACGTTTTTCTTACAATGCACACTCCACCAAACAGAAGCAAAACCAGTAAATGCTCTAGTGGCAGCTCGTACTCGCTCAAGTTCAGAAAAGTCATGGTGACTAAAAACTTGTTCTACTTCAAGCTCCCAAGCTAGATAAATAGCAGGATTAAATCTACCCTGAAATGATGGTAAAGAGCTAACCTGGCCATGTGCTTGTGTGTGTTGTCCCAACTCTCGTGATGGTGAAGATGTGTTCGTCGTCTAAAAACTTCTATCTCCGGTACCTGTCATGATTAGTAGAAACAAGAAACAAAATTCGAGAATAATGTTCCTATGAACTACTAGGATGTGGTTGTAAAGTGCTCACAGCAAAGCAAATATCAATATCTTACAAGTTTTTACCATGCGGCAGGTGGTAACAGGCAACCAGCGGTGTCAAATAACTTCGAAGATTGTGTAAAGGGATTGCCAGGGGAACGTACGTATACATGGTGTAGAAATATGTGGAGCTGGGTTGGCTATATATGGTAGCAAAAGATTAGCAATAATCAATTCAAAGATGCAATGTTGAATAAACGCTCAACGACGGTACTGTGCTGGTCCTAGGCTAGACCGACTAGAGACGCGAGCCTAGAACACTAATGAGGTCACGGCATAGCACAACTAGCATCGATGAAGGATAAGTAGCTCTTCATAGCAAGATATAAGTGAAGATCACAACGGCAGTAAAGATAATGATGAATAACAACTGCCAAGCAGGATATATAACAACTCTCTCTCCAACTTTCCTCTTGAAAAGTTTGCTACTAACTCAAGCTTTCCAATGCAAAAAGAATCACTCAATTCCGAATTGATATGAGGAGTCAAAGAATTCTAAAACTGGCCTGAAAAACTGGAACAAACTGTATGCACAAACTTCGAAAGGCAAAAGGACCAATTTAGAAGCTGATTTTGAGACGCCAAATATTGAACAAGCTTTTGCAATTATTCAGATGCGCCTAGTTGCTAGCTTTAATTTGAGTACTTGTGGAGCCAAAACAGAGTTCGTATGAGGAAGTTATGCCTTTTTTACCGAACAATGCACAAAACAGATTCCAGTCCGAATTCAACTACGAGATTGAGTCTAGATAGATCCGAATTTTGTTTTTTTTCTCTTCTCTCCTTTTTTTCTCACACTTTTTTTTCTTTTTCTTTCTCTTTTTTTCTGACTTTTTTTAACTCTTTTTCTCTCTTTTTTCCGTCTTTTTTTGTCTCTCTCTCTTTCCAAAACAAACTAGATAAGATGCAGATTGGATCAAGCAAAGATGTGAACGATCTCAACTATGATTATGACAATGAACGGTGGGTAGCAAATGGTGGAATTTGATGGATTGGTGATGGACAGTGGAAGGGATAACGATGCAGCGGCGGCGTGACTAATGTGAACAGAACTCGAAACTCTAAACGAACTAGACACTAAGACCAGCAACTCGACACAACGATGCAACCGATAATTCAATAATGCAAACAATGAAAAGAAAATTGCATAGGCTCGGACTGGCTTGGACAAAGGATGAATAGATCTAACTTTTTTTGTGGTTTTTTCTTGGACAATAGGTAAGAAAATAAATCTAATCTAGGAAAAACTGGAAATTCTCACCGAGCAACCTGAAAACTGATACCACTTGATAGAGACAGTGTGTCCTGATCTTTTGATGAGATGATAACTATCAATTTGGTGAAGATGACTTTGACGATCCGACTACAAACGTGCACGACGTTGCACCTTAGCAATCGCTAAACCAACTCCGAGAGGTTATTGACCATGCTGGAGCACAATCAACCTGACCACGAAGGTCTATTTCTGCAAGCAATCGAAGAACAAGCAAGAATATGATAAAGCAATCTGAATATTGCGAATATTGATAAAGTATTGATAATGGTGGGGATCCGAAAGTGGTCTTGGTCTGGTCGTTGGACACAAACGAAGTACACGAAGTAGCGTTGGCTAACTTTTAACTAAACAAATCCCAAGGAAAAAGCTACTAGATGGATCTACTTATATAGGAGGAAGGGGTGGCGGCCAAGGAGGTGGGAGAACGTCCCAAGGCATCCTAAAACCAACCCTAGGTCGTACAAGGCTCATGGGCCCAAGTGGAGGTGATGCAACACCTTCGGACTTGTTGTTTGACTCGGATTCTGCTGCAGCGTCCGATTGTTTCATCGATATCTCAACGCTCAGGACGAATTTGAAGGTGAATCTAATTGGGTTGGAAAGAGCACAAAATCTAGATTCCAACAAAAAAAGAATCACCCAATTCAGAGTCCGTATGAAAATGTTGTTGGCGTTTTGAGTCAGGTATGTCTGTGCAGTCCGAATCTGAATCCAGAACGTGAGAGACTTGGACTCTATCTTCTCTTGGCCCAAAAGTGACGTGAGAGAACTTTTTGAATAGCAAGTAAACATCTCTTTCTCCCTTATCTTCATATGTGAATTGTACAAATGTTCCATACACCTGCAATTAGACAAAACACAAAAGTGTGTGAAGTATTTTTGTTCTGGATAACATAAATAGATTATTGAATAGTTTGCACTAGAAATCACCTGACAAATATGCATGTATGCAATATTTTTGGTCGTATCCAAGGTAGTTATGTCCTCATCAAGGTGGAATGCATATTATGTAGGATTTTAATTCCAAATGCTAGGACCTAAGGGGTTCATATTACATGGAAGAAAAGAAATGGTTCCGATATTTCGATGAAACCGCTACGAAAGATAGTATTAAATAATCCTCAAAAATAGTGTTTTTCAAATGACATATACTAGCAGGCAATGGACAAACATTTTAAAAAAGTGCGATGAAAGGGGAAAGTTCCCTCTCTTAACTTCCGTTGTTAGGTAGGTGAATTTTGATGCAATTGTAATCTCTGACCCAATGGCTGAGAACAATAATGCTAGACCTACAAAGAGTTTACTAATGTTTTCTTAAATTTTTAAACTATAATTGGGCCCCTTCATTTCTCTATTTCCAGTCATAATCCTCACACCAATTTGTTTGTGAAAAAGGATAACCTTTTATAAATGTAGCATTACTCGACTAAGAATTGGTGAAAGACGGTAAGACAACGTCGTCCTTTCTTTGCCGTTTATTTCGAAGGAACGCACATCAGACGGTCGCAAAGGTTCGTTCCACGAGGAACGATCGATCCACATCGACCGAACCACACGAGAGCCGGAGAGACAGAAGGGTAACGCGGTGGGCCCCAAAAAATCCCCGCCATCACCTCTGGACGAATGGGGATGCCGCGCCCACGTGAC